TTATACCACATTTTCCATTTTAACCTTGACTGTTTTTGCGCCGCCAATAATATAATTGAGAAACTATATAAATAAACTAATTTTTATTTTAATCTCTTGAACTCGGGTTTGTTAGTTCGAATTTGGTTTAGAGCCATGTGTTTTTATAAATATAAATAAAGGAATATACTATATAAAATGATGGAAAGTTTTATCTATGCTATGTTACAGGGTTTCCCATTCAAAAGAGGAAAAGTCCTAATCAAAAGAGGAAAAGTTTCAATCATAAAAGGAAAGGTTCGATCAAAAAACGAAAAGTGTCAAACAAAAAAGGAAAATTCCCTAAAGGAAAGAAAAAATGTCAATGAAAAAAGGAAAGTCGTATTATTTAATTTATTTTTTCTTATTTTTCTTAAATTTTTATTTATTTTTGTTATTCCTTCTTATTTTATTTCTAATTTTATTTCTTTACTTTATTTTTCTTACTATATCCAATGACATTAATAGACTGCCGATTAATGTATTTGAAGTGGCAAAAATTGAAGTGAGTAGCTGCCATTTTGTGTTTGGATCTTTTACGAAAGAAACTTATGATAATTTCATAAATTTCAGGTTTATTTTTATTATATATTATATTTATAATCTTATTTTTTTACTAGATGAATAAAAAAACATTTTTAGAGCAAGTAATTTATAGTTATTGTTAAGATGTGTAAATAGTTACAGGCGATTAAATTTAATTTTCATGTTTAAATTTTTCTTATTTTAATGTTATTATGCAAATGTTTTCAAATACTTTAAAACTATATATACTTGTCTTTTTTTATATATAAAGATATACACATTTTTTATTTTGATTGTAATTTTGTTATTTCAACATGCGAAATAAAGTTTTTATATAAATCGTCACAAATATAGTTTTAACATAAATTATCACAATTACATTATGGTGGCAGCGTAAAGCGTCTACTCAATGATTCTCCACTTTTCTTATAATGATGAATCCAAAATCATTTCAAAGCAAAAAAGAAAGATATAAAATATTAAACTTAAATTAATTTCTTAAAAATTATATAAAATCCATAATATAAAATCCATAATATAAAATAAAAAATTTCCTCACAAATCCTATCTAAAAAATATATAATATAAACATACTGGCTTCTCACGAAAAAAAATAAAGGTAACGTACCAAATAAATACATTATTTTCATATTTTATCATATTTTGTTTACCATTTTATTAAATATGCATTATGATATTTTTATTTTACCGTATTTACCACCTAAGGAAACTTACTCACCTAATTTTTATGATATTTTTATTATCATTCTTTATTTTCAATAGTTATATATTTTTATTAAGTTTATTGTTAATAATCCTTGACCTTAACAGGTCATTATCGAAAAAATAAATAAAATTATATTTTAAAAAAATAAAATACAGGGTAAATTATTATAATAAAAACAAAAAAAATTAAAAAGATTTAACCATATGTTTTTTTATTTTTACATAATACTCAAAAAATAAATGATGATATCAAATATATAATATATGACAAAACAGATTTAAAAAATCAGAGTTGTTAAAGTAGCGCGATATCTTTTTTGGTAGCTATAGCTAATAGCGGCTACTTTTTTTGAAATTATTTAATTTTTTAGCGCGCTACTTTTTTTAAAAGTAGCTAGCAAAAATATAATGAATGTAAGTATAAGCACGAAAATTTAAATATAATACCATAATTAATTATAATTTTTATGATTTATTATTTAATTTTGAAATTGAAATATATTTTCAATTTGTATTATAAACCTAAATCACCTGTTAATAATTTAAAATGGCATCGTATATGGATATCCAAATCGTTGAAAGCGATTCAGAGTAAGACAATGATATTAATAAAATGGAAGATACCAGGGAAAAAATGATATTCATAGCAATACTATCCCATTCCATAGATTTCAGAAATTTTTCAAGATAAATATTAAAACAAAAACTGGTTTCAAATTTATTTGTTTAAAATGTAAAAAAAATATTTCCTCAAATCAATCCAATAGCTATAACCTCAAGAAACACCTAAAGGTAAATTATCATTTTTACATAAAATAATAATATTTATTTTAAAAGACTGTTCATGCTAATAGTTTTAAGGAAATTGAACAACATTTAAATAACTTTGGCATAGATGAATCTACATCCAAAAAGACTATTCAGACAAATTTAATTAATAATACAAATGCCAATATTTCTCAGAAATTAATTGATAAAGTTATTGTGGATTTTATAATCAATACAGTTCAGCCAATGTCCTTGGTTGATAATCCATCATTTACTATGACGATTAAAACTTTATCACCTTGTAAAACTATTTTATGTCGCCAGACACTTGTAAATAAAATAGCAAATACGTTTAAGGTGATGAAAGATGCTTTAATAGTAGAATTATCAGAGATATCTCATATATGTACCACGGCTGATAGTTGGACACAACAATGTATATAAGATTAAATAATCTCTTGCCCTCAAGTGCTAGTGTCGAGAGATTATTTAGTAAGGCAAAACTGATACTTTCTTCATCGCTCTAGACTTGGGGATGATAATATTGAAATGATTTTATTATTAAGATTCAACAAATTACCATAAATATTTAAAATCTATTACATAAATTTTTTTATAATCAAAATTAACTATATTTTAATATTTATAAATGTTGATTTTTTATATATTATTTAGATTTACTATACAATTACATTATATGAAAAATAAAAAATAAATTGTTTCTAAATTTTTTTTATAAAAAGTAGCTATAAAGCTACTTTTTAAAAATAGTAGCTAATAGCGAGCTACTTTTTTTGACAAATAGCGACAGCGATAGGGCGCTACTTTTAAAAGTAGCGATTAACAACTCTGTAAAAAATGCATTCAAATATAAAAAATTGGATCATTTGATTTTCGTTTTTTCTTTATGTATTCCGATTTTCTATATTCCTTTAAAATATATTTAAATATAAATTATATTTTTATAAATTTACCTTAATCCATTGGTTGTCCTCGATAGCCACTCTCCGAATATTGATGCATCTTATTATAATAACTTGAAAAGGTATAAGGAATAGTAAATTCATTCAGAATTGATGTTACATTATGAACGATTTTGTTTCTTGTATTTGGTCGGGGATTGATTGACCTATATTTGTTTTTTAATACCCCAAAGAAATTTTCTACTGATATTAGTTGCGGCGAATAGGGTAGCAAATATTCTATTTCACTCTTTAAAACTATCAATGAGGTGGCTTTTATGGATCGATGCATTGTCCATAACAATAACTGCATCACTTGGTATGATATCTATCATATATTCTCGAAATAGTAGGCTACAATGATGCGATAAAGTATCACACCTTCGATTCCCATAGTAAAAATATACTTAAATTTTTACCTTTAGATGGTGGGACTTTAACAGTTGGCGTAACATTGTATGGTGCCCAGGCGTAAACAGGTAAAACATGTAAATTTATGCCTGTCTCGTCTAAGAAAAATATTTTTTCTCTGGCAATATTCAATATTTTTATACAATAAATTTGTCGTATATTGACTGTGCCCGGTGTGTTCCTCCTATCAGGTTCCTTTCATGCACGTTTTTTGGACCATCCTATTTTTTTAATATATTTCCTTATAGTTCCTTCATTTCTAGGAAATCCTGGAGGTAAATTTCCTATAATACCTTTAATATATGTATTGTTCGCCATTAAAAGTTCCATAATTTTTCTTTCTATATTGAATGTGTCTTTTTTTTTCCTGCCTCGCTTTCCAATCACATAATCTTTTAAAGGGTCAGATGATTTCGGGAAATGTTTCGCGTCTTAATTTATTAATAGACGATAAAGACATATCTAAATACTTAGCGATATCTTTCATTTTCATTTGCTCCTTCTCAGGTACAGATAATAATTTTTTTGCTATATCTATTTTTTCATTATTCCAGTTTTTATATTTCCTTCTTGGAATTGCCGAGATTAAATTTGCTCGATCAATAATAGAATCACCACTTAAAGAGGGAGAATTGATAATATGGAAATTATTTGTAGCAGATATATTAGGTATTGAATGAGAATAAACAGGATAGGGATTTGATGTAAATGAATTTGTAATATTTGTGTTACTATATAAATTTGTCGTATATTAAACATTTGTGAATTAGAATAAAATAGATCAGGATTTGATGTAAATGAATTTGTATTATTTGTGTTACTATATAAAATTTGTCGTATATTAAACAATTGAAAAAAATATTAAACTGTATTTTAAAAAAAAAAATTAAAGTATATAAAAATCGTATATGCAAAAAAATTACATTAAAATTTTACCATATGTATTTTTGTAGTGTTTGTTTTGTTATATATTAATGAATAGTCATTTATTTTATAAGTATTATGTAAAAATAAGACATATATTGTTTCATTCTTTTAACTTTTTGTTTTTATTATAATAACTTACCCTGTAAAACAACTTTAACAGGTCATTATCGAAAATTAAAAAATAAATAAATTAAAAATATATATTAGAAAAAAAAATAAAAAACCTTAACAGGTCATGATCAAAAAATAAAAAAAGAATAAAATAAAACATAAGAGCAATTTTCTTAACCTTCAAAGGTCTGGTTGAACAAAAAATAAAATATAAAAGAAAGAAAAGATACTATATACATATAAATAAAAAAAAACAATAGCAATTTTTGAACGGAGAACTAAAAAAAAAATTTTACACAATAAGGGAAGAAAAACTCACTTGTACAAATATATACATAAAAAAAATTAAAAGATAAAATCAAAAAAAAATATAATAAATAAATAAAATCAACCATATAATAGATCACATTACAATAACAGCAGAAATAACGATACTATAAATCAGATAGAATATGGCAACAAGATTAACACAGTAAACATCGAGTTGATGAATTTAAAAGTGATAAAGTAGAAAACAAAGATTTTGACTTATTAAACATAAGCGTAAATAACATGACCGAAGATTTTAATGATAATGACAACAACGCGTATAAAGTAACTTTGAAATTGAACAACCTTACAACAGTCATGCAGGTTGACACAGGTTCCAGATTCTCAATATAGTTCGATAGCTAAGAACGCAGGCGTCACTGAAATGAAGAAATCTAATTTAAAATTAACAGGCTATGACGGCTATCAAATCAAAATATTAGGGACAATGCAAATCAGCGTAAATTACGAAGGAGTAACTAAAAATTTACAAGCGATCGTTGTCAATAAGAGTCCATTACTTGGCAGAACTTGGCTAAGTGCCTTGAAGAATATTTTAAAAAATTTGTAGGAAATATAGATGATGATTATTATAATAATAAACTTACCAAACTCATACTTAATTACAAACTAAAAATGGCCGATAAACCCATCTGCAAAACCAATATTAAGCTTCGATTAAAGCAAAATGCCGTACCAAAGATAATATCGCCGAGGAGAATACCATACTCCAGAATAGATATAGTAGGTAAATAATTAAACAGATGGATACAAGAGAAAATAATAGAGCCCGTAAAAGATGTGCGTTGGGCTAGTCCATTAACTTCAGTCTTCAAGGATGATGGAAGTCTCAGGTTATGTGCTGACTTTAAAGATACAGTCATGCGCTGGAAGATTTCAAATATTACATACCAAGAATAGACGATTTAATAGCAAGACTATCAAAAGGAAACAAATTCACCAAAATCGACTTCAAGAGCGCATTTTGGCAAATTCCCATAGATAAGAGCTCTATGGACATGAACTATTTCTACACACAAAGGATACTTCAGATTTACCAGACTACCTTTTGGTCTCAAAACGGCGTCTGCTTTATTTCAGCAGACCATGGATAAAATATTCGGAGACATGAAAGATGTGATATTTTATATTGACGATCTTTTAATAACGGGTAAAAATGATAAAATACATATAGAAAATATAAAGAAAGTTTTTGAAAAATATTAAAATACGGTCTCACACCAAACTTTACAATAAGCATATTTATGAAAACCAATGTCAGATTTTTAGGTCATGAAATAGATGCAGAAGGTATACACCCTAATCGAGATAAAATTAGAGCTCAACATGCCAGAACCAAAATCTTATGATGAACTTTCTACATTTTTAGGAATGGCAAGTTACTACATAAAATTTTTGAATAATTTTGCCGACCTAGCAGACCCACTACAAAATAGTCAAAGAAAAATGGAAATGGGAAGCTGAACATGCCAAAAGTTTCAATGAAATAAAAACATTAATCAGTCAACCTCCTACATTAAATTATTTTAATCCAAACTTACCTATAGGTATAGCTGCTAACGCATCAAACGTGGACTTGGAGCAGTACTTTTTCATATAGAGAGCAATGGAAAGGAAAAACCTATAGCCTTTACATCAAGAACATTATTAAAGGCAGAGATAAACTACACAAATATTGAGAGATGCTCTTGCCATAATATTTGCAATCAAAAGATTAAGAATACCTAATAGGTACGAAGTTTATTATCATCACCGACCATAAACCCTTGATTTATATCTTTTCCAAAGGATTAAAAGAAAATCTTCGATGTCTATGCGTTTACAAAAGTGGAATATAGCAATGGGAGCTTATGATTTTAAAATAATTCATAGAGCAGGCAAATATAATACAGTTCCTGACTGTCTATCAAGATTACCACTCAGTGTAGATAAGGAAACTATTGATAAAAGTACGGACAACACAAAAAACGACTTATGGGATATTCCGATTAATTTTAATAAAGTATTAGAGGAAACATATAAAGACAAAGAAATATTGGATATCATTAAAGACATAAGAAAAGGTGATAGTATAAAAAACAAATCATACAAAAACATGGAATATGAATTAAGTATTATAAATAATTGTTTGTTCAAAGAAAACAAAATTGTGATTCCTGCAGGCATGAAAAAAACTATGTTGAAGGAATTACACCGGACACTTAGGTGCTGGAAAGACCAAAGCATTAGCCAAGGATTATATGTATTGGCCAGGTATGAACACGAGTATCGATCTTGAAGTAAAAAATTGTGAATCATGTAATATTTGAGCATCGAATACTTCTAAACCCTTTGAAAGAATACACATATACTATACGGGACTTATCAAAAATTTTGGTTAATATTAGTAGATACATACAGCAAATTTCCAATAATAACTCCAGTCAAATCTATCACAACAGATATCACTTTATAAGAACTTATGAAAAAAATCAGTATTTTTGGGATACCGGAAGAAATAGTAACTGATAACGGTACAAACTTCACGAGTCACTCGTTTGATAAATTTTGCAAATCATTGAATCAAACACACCCTAACCGCTGCTTACCATCAGCAGTCCAACGGTCAGGTGGAAAGGATGGTGGGTACCTTCAAAATGAGTATGAAGAGAAATATGGAAAGAGAGAACACCAATTTAGACATAGCTCTAGAAAGGTTTTTATTCAATTATCGTAATACTCCGAACAGCTCAACAGGTATAGCACCGAGTAAACTATTATTTTCACATGATACAAGGATAAAATATGATTTATTGAAACCAGTGATTAATAAAAAAAAAGATGACAAAGATAACAACAATGAACAGGATAATAATGGTAGGAACGTATGGTATAAAACATTCATCGAAAACAAATGGAACAAAGGCATTGTCATTGAAAAAGAGAGTGAATTATTATACTGAATAGACACTGGTTGCAAAATAATAAGAAGACATATTGAATTTTTTCCTATATTAATTTAATATTTTATAGGATTTAAAAAATGGGGAATTTTTTTCCGAGGAAATTTTTTCCGGAGAATTATTTACCTGGGAATTATTTTCCGGGGAATTTTTTTCCAGGGAATTATTTTCCTGTCTTTCCGGGGAGTAATCTTCCGGGGAATTTTTTTTCCAGGAAATTTATTTGGGGATTTTTTTCCGGAATTTGTTTCCCGGGGAATTATTTTCCTAGATAACTGCAAAGTTTTTTTTCATTTTCACAATAATTTTTCCTTCACCTATAAATATATAAGTTAAATAACATATTTTTTTATTACTTGATTTATTGCCCATATAATAAGTCTTATTATAATTTGATAATGAAAGTAAAGAATTGTTAAAAAATGGAGCAGAAATGAAGAAAAATAACGGTAAATTTATAAATTATTTTTAAAAAGACATCAAAATGTTAAGAAAAATAAATTGAGAAAAGATAGTAAGAAAATAAAGTAAAGAAATCGCAAAAAGTTAGAAATAAAATAAAAAGGATTTAAAAGATTTTCCTTCTTTGAATGGGAATTTTCCGATTGAACCTTTCTTATGATCGGCATTTCCATTTTTGTTTGGGCCTTTTCCTTTTATGAATGGGAAACGTTGTACTATATTTTCTCAATTTATTTTTTGATAATTCTTGTCTTTTTAAAAATAATTTATAAATTTTCCGCTATTTTTCTTCATCTCTCTACTCCATTTTTATAAACAATTCTTTACATTTTTTTCATCATACATACAATATTCTTTTTTCTCCTTATATTGTAATCTTTTACATACATTTCTAACCTTTAAGACATTTTTAATTATTATTTTTTTGACCTTTTCTCAATTTTTTTCTTCTCATTTTTGATAATTCTTTTTAGGAATTATATTTAATTTTTACTAAATTTTTGGCAAGCAATTTTTTTTATTAGAATTTTTTTACATATCAAATTATTTAAGTTGGTAAATATTTCAATGTATGCCCTCTTCTTTCTATCGATTCCCTAATTGTATGATTATGATGAAATGGAACATTATCCATCACAAAAATTATATTGATCATGTTACCTTTTTCAAAATGATTTAATATTTCATATAAAAAGTTGCTGAAATATAAAGCATTGCAAGGGCAAATATTCCTGCAATTGCAAGAGCAGCAATGATAGTTTAATTTATTGTCCTTATCCCTTGAACATTTTTAATAGCCTTTTTATTAATTTGTGAATATCCATATAACCGCCTCATTGATATTGAAAACCCGCTCTCATCGTTAAATATAAATTTTTCTTTCATATAGGCTAAATCTTTCGCGTATTCTTTGCGAATCTTGATATTTGATTCGGTATTTTTTCTAACTGAACCAGGAGATACTCTTTTAAAGCCCTAAATCCTGAGAGTAACCCTAGACCGTATTTTTTGATATTTCCACATCATATATTTCTTTAATCATTTCACATAACCTTTTTAAGGATAAAATGCAATCTAAATTATACAATTTAATATATTTTTATTCTTCTTGCATGCAAGTGAATCCCCTTTGGGCAAACTATATTTTATTCCATTTTTGAGATGAGAGTATTTAATATTTGTCACTGCCTATGCTATATTTTTGATACTATCCTTTTTTAACGCATCAATCAGTGGCGTATACAGGATCTTCCTATAAGGGAGGGGGGGGGGAGAGGGGTGATAATTTTTTTGTGGGACTACGCCCCCTAAACCCACAGTAGAAATTTTTTAAATAACAAGTTTTTATAACTTCTCATCAAATACAATATTGTACAAAATTAATTAAATACTATAATTATAATGCGATTTTTAATTTTCGTGGGAAATTTGCCAATTCATCAAGAATTTCGTTTGTCGTTGGAACCAAATCTCTGTGGATATTTAACAGAGCTAACACTTTTAGCCGAGATTCAGAAGTAGTATCAACCTTCTCAAGTTGGGAAAGGTCCTTCATTAGTACATGTTGTTAGGAAAATATACAAGAATATAAAACAACTTCAAAATATTTGGAAATTGAGCCAAGGTTTCCTTACACCGATTGAGCGCATCAATAGCATGCTTGATAAAATAGCCAACTGTAGTAAATATTTATACCACTTTGAATTCACTGATTAAATTGATTTCAGTATCAATATTATTGGAATAAAATTCTGCTAAACATTTAATTTTACCATTAGTGGCATCAGAAAACGAAGAAGGGTCTTTAGGTAATAAAATTTGAAGATTGCTAAAGACTTGCTTTTTTTATCTAAAAACCGTACTTTGATTTGAGATAAAAAAAGTATCCAAGAATGGAATGAAAATGTGTATTTTATAATATTCTTCAGTTGAGTCAACTTGCCTAGGTGCTAGACAAGGTTTAATTAGTGTTATATCATAAGATTTAGCTTTCGATTCAACGTCTAGATAAATATTATGAAAATATTCATCTACATTCATTTTTATTTACCTGTTCACATATATTTTCCACCAAATCAATAACCTGAACAAAATCTAAATTTGGTTTTTGTAAATTTCTACAAAGTAGTGAGCTGTAGGAAAATATTTTATTAATGCAACTAGCAGCAAAGATAAATTCTGATAGATATTGCAAAATTTTGACTAGAGAGGGGGGGGAAGGGTGAAATTTTTATTAGATAAAAATGATATTTATGAAAACAGCCAAATTTGTTGGTTTACTTACCATATCTTCATAATTTTATTTTCTAAAACAAAAAAAATTTCTTTTTAAAATATTTACTCATTAAATAGAATGAATGACAAAAAAGAGTGATATTTTATAACATTTACCTCATTTTTACGTTTAATTATTCATAAATTAAAGAATATAATCTAAAATATGACTACAAAAAAATCACTTACTTGCTCAAACGTATAAATGCATCTTGCATAAATATTAAAATTTTAAAATGAAAATTTAAAAATGATTATATTTTATTAATTTACATATCGTTTGGTATTACAGTTCAAACTTATTTAATTTTAAAAAGGTACATTATAACCAAACGATAAATTTAATTTAGCAATTGTAATTAAATAATTTGATATGTAAAAATAGTATTGCTAAATGGCTCGTTTTGAGCCGATTTTTAAAAACGGCTAACTCAATATTTTAGCCAGAAAAATATTGTCTAAGCCTAGAAGTTTTGATAATATATGTCTAGACCTTTGTTCCTTCTATGAGCAGAATCGTCAGATTTACGAAATATTTTTCTGAATAAAATATTGAGCTAGCCGTTTTTAAAAATCGGCTCAAAACCAGCCGTTTAACAACACTATGAAAAAAATTATAATAAAAAATTGTCTGCCAAAAATTTAGTGAAAATTAATATAATTCCTAAAAAGAATTATCAAAAATAAAAAAAAAAAAATTGAGAAAAGTGAAAAAAGTAAAGATTAAAAATGACTTAAAGTGATTGAAAAGGTTAGAAATGTATGTAAAAGATTACAATATAAGGAGAAAAAATCATAAAAAGAATATTGTATGTATGATGAAAAAAATGTAAAGAATTGTTTAAAAAATGGAGCAGAGAGGTAAGAAAAATAATGGAAAATTTATAAATTATTTTTAAAAAGACAAAGAAAAATAAATTAAGAAAAGATAGTAATAAAAATAAAGTTAAGAAATCGCAAAAAGTTAGAAAATACGAAGGAATAATAAAAATTGACAAGAAAATTTTTTTTTAAATTACGTATTTCTTTTTTGTTTGATGCTTTTCCTTTTTTGACTGAATCTTTTCCTTTTTTGTTTAACACTTTCTTTTTTGATTGGACTTTTTCTTTGGGACTTTTCCATTTTTGATTGATACTTTTCCTTTTTTGTTTGGGCCTTTTCCTTTTTGATTGAACCTTTTCCTTTTATGATTGACCCTATTCCTTTTTATATCGGATCTTTTCCTTTATGATCGAAACTTTTTCTTTTTTGATTGGGAGTTTTCCTTTTTTGAATAGGAAAACCTGTAATAAATGGGTTGTCTTTGGGACTTTACCTGGATATGCATAGCAGAAACCTTCGTAGGCCTTAATTTTTTGACCAAGTCCGGTCCCCTGCAATAAAAAATTTAGACCACCCATATCTAATGTTAAAAACAATTCCCAAGCCCATAAGTTTCAAAAAATTTCCCAAACCCAGCCCAAGCCCATATCCAAATTTTAATTTAATGAAAATAAACAATATTTAATATTTAGGCAATCATTTTGTTTACAATACTAAAATTTATTATTATTAGCAATATTTCTTTAAATTAGCAACTGTTTAAATTTAAAAATTTTA